GATTATGACAATTGTCACCTATCTATGATACATCATCACTGAATTTTTAATTTAACATGTTTAGAATATATATTTTTAGATATTTCCTTTAAAAAAATTTGAAAAATTTCAAAAATAGCGATTATGACAATTGTCACCTATCTATGATACATCATCACTGAATTTTTAATTTAACATGTTTAAAATATATAATTTTAGCTATTTCCTTTAAAAAAATTTGAAAAGTTCAAAAATAGCGATTATGACAATTGTCACCTATCTATGATACATCATCACTGAATTTTTAATTTAACATGTTTAGAATATATATTTTTAGATATTTCCTTTAAAAAAATTTGAAAAAGTTCAAAAATAGCGATTATGACAATTGTCACCTATATATGATACATCCTCACTGAATTTTTAATTTAACATGTTTAGAATATATATTTTTAGCTATTTCCTTTAAAAAATTTTGAAAAAGTTCAAAAATAGCGATTATGACAATTGTCACCTATATATGATACATCCTCACTGAATTTTTAATTTAACATGTTTAGAATATATATTTTTAGCTATTTCCTTTAAAAAAATTGAAAAAAGTTCAAAAATAACGATTATGACAATTGTCTATGATACATCCTCACTGAATTTTTAATTCAACATGTTTAGAATATATATTTTTAGCTATTTCCTTTAAAAAAATTTGAAAAAGTTCAAAAATAGCGATATGACAATTGTCACCTATCTATGATACATCCTCACAAATTTTAAATTTAACATGTTTAGAATATATATTTTTAGCAATTTGCTTTAAAAAAACTCAAAAAAGTTCAAAAATGGCGATTATGACAATTGTCACTTATCTATGGTACATCTTCACTGAAATTTTGATTTAACATGTCTACAATATATATTTTCATCTATTTCATTTAAAAAAGTTCAAAAATAAGCATCATAACAAATGGCTCTTTTCTATGGTGCATCTTCACTTAAAAATTTTAAAAAATAACTATGATGAATAGTTAATCCAGAGCATTATAATTTAAAGAAGCTTTAAGTAACTTTCCCGCCTATAATATTAATATATACTAAATGTTATTTGACTTTTGGTCAAAAAAAATGATCTAGATATTGGGTTAAGGGTGAAAAAAAGCAACCCTAACTTTAAGTCGTCTTTAAAAAGAAAGATCCATATTTTGAGTCGGATTGAATAAAACGACCCGATGTTTGAGTCTGAGTCAGATAAACGACCCAAACTTTGAGTTGGAGTCGAAAAATACGACCCAAACTTCAAGTTTGAGTCGAAAAATACGACCCAAACTTCAAGTTTTAGTCGAAAAATACACCCAAACTTCAAGTTTTAGTCGAAAAATACGACCCAAACTTCAAGTTTGAGTCGAAAAATACGACCCAAATTTCAAGTTTGAGTCGAAAAATACAACCCAAATTTTGAGTCGGAGTCGTAAAAAACGACCCATATTTTGGGTCGAGGTCGTTTTTTTCGGCTTGGACTTGGGTCGGAGTCGAAAAAAAACGACCCATATTTTGGGTCGAAGTCATTTTTTTCGGCTTGAACTCGGGTCGAAGTCGTAAAAAACGACCAAAACTTTGAGTTAGAGTCGAAAAAAACGACCCAAAATTTGGGTGAGCTGCGTTCGAGCCGACTCGGCTAAGCCGATTAACAACTGGGGTAACCGAAAATAGCAAAAAGTCTTAACAATATTTTTCTTACTTCAGTAAAATTATTTGTTGACAGTTTTTGAATTTCAGGCCATTTACTAAAACTATCTATTATTACTAGATATATAATATATATCCATTAATTGGTCCGGCAAAATCTAAATGAATTATTCACCATGGTTTATTTGCGGAGGGCCATTTCCCTATGAATGTTTTACCGTCAGGGCTATTTGTTTGAGATAATTCACAATTCTTACCGTGTAATTCGATGTCTTCGTTAATATTCTGCCATTAAACGTTCTCTTGGGCCAATAATTTTGTTTTAATATAACCCTGATGCCTCATATGTAAACAAGACAAAATATTTACTTGTTATTTTTGGGGGAATTATGGTTCTTAATTTCCATAATGTACACCTCTATCGTGAGTTAATTTCGGTGCTGGAAAAACGGTTTTAGAATTTCTTCTATTATCGTCGGTCACCCAGTTGCAATACAACGTGAAACCTTTGATAATACCTGGTCATTTCTTGTGTGTGATTTTATATCTATCGCTGAAATAAATTGTGGAACATCCATACTATTAAATTAATATTTAACTCTTACCAAGCAGATGGTTTACCATCAATTGGGAAATGGGAAGCATATCTGCATTACTATTTGTCTTCGTCTATCGAAGTTGTAATTCATAATCATAATTTGCTAGTTGTAATGACCATCTTACTAATCTTGATTACATATCTGTTATTCTTTTATGTAGATTAAGTACGATATAAGTGGTTTATGATCAGTGATTATAGTAAAATGTTTACCAATTAAATATTGTTTAAATTTAATTAATCCAAATATGATTCATTCTTCATATATTTATCGCTGAAATGTTACGATCAGCCGATCTTTTATACCGAAGTGACAGGCACTTCTCCTAAAAGTTTATGCAACTGATAAAAATGGTCATACTCTTCAAGTAACCTAGTTTTATATTTAGCAAAGACTATTTTCAAGAGATCTTGTTTCTGAAAAATATCTTTATTCGATATGACATATTGTTCTAAAATTGTATGCAACTACATGCTTCACGACAATGTTAACTCATCGTTATCCAAATCTCAGCACAATTCTCTAACCGCTTCGGACCGCGTTCGACCATAAAACCCTAACATTTACAGTTGGAAAAATATTAAATTCGGAGACCGAGGTAAAGTGATTGACAGGATAACAATTTTATCACAACTTTAAATTTGATGTTAAGATTTATTTTTATAAATTTGCTAAAAAATTATAAAAATAACTGTTTAGTGTATTTTGCTTTTAGCAAAATATATTTATGCTCATGATTTAAAAATTTGTATAGATGTTCCAGCTATAAAATAAAATTTATCGGAAGTTTATGACTTAACTAGAAGTCCTGCAATAACGATTTAAATGTACCGTCTGATCAAAGCTGTAAAAAAAATAATTTTTGAATATTAAAGTCTGCAACATAAAAAGGTATTTTTGAGCAAAATAACATTAACAAAAAGTTTTTGTTAATAAATTTTTAAAAATAGTCATAAAGAGGAAAAATAATTGAAATATATGGTGTGTCTATGGACAAAATTAAAATATGCTATTTTTAATAATTTTTAAATTCCCTTAGCGTATTGATTAGTTTAGTGTTGTTAAATGGCTTGATTTGAGACGATTTTAAAAAATGTCTAACTCAATATTTTATCCGATTTTGGTCACAGATTGTACAAAGGTTTGTCTATTAGCAAAATCTCAAGGTTTGGTAATATTTTTCTGGCTAAAATATTGAGTTAGCCGTATTTAAAAATCGACTCAAATCGCGCCGTTTAACAACAATAATAAATAGATATCAAAATTGTTTGTTCAATAAAACAATAGTCGTGTTCTATTTTATTTTAACTATCCTACCTTGGTGTTTAGCCATTAGCATGGTTTGTCCCACTTTTTTTTTTATTTTGTAGGTGAAGAACTGGGTTACATATAAATCTATAATTTGTTCAGACTTGACTATTTTAAAAATTTTTATAGTAAAAAATGCAAAATACCAATCGTTATATCTCCTCTTTATATATTGTAAAAAGAATATAAATATATGTAATGTTTTAATTAATTTTTATAAAATAAATTGAGAGCATTTTTTATTTATAACCCGCCCACTCACGCTTACATTAAAAAAATATTCAGATCCATTCACGTCTGATGTTAATTTTTTTTAGCTCGACCCACATACCAAGGCATTTTTATCACTCTCGTCACGCCTGAAAAATTTACCATTTTAAAAATTATTGCAATTTTAATCACTAGTAATTAAGAATTCCCCAATTAAGTCATATTTTTAATCAAAATATATTTTATATGAAATAGAAATAATATAATAAAATTTTAAGTTGTGTTCGTCTTTTTTCTAATAAACAATTATTGGCCTTAGAAATAATCGTTCACGGAAAAACAAACTGGCTGGGGCTGACTAAATTTTACTGGTCAATTTTTTGAAAAAATATTCAAAATTGACATATTTTAATTAAAATAGAAATAAGCCTATTCTATAAAATAATTATTTTTTAAAAGAAATTTCAATATTTTATATAAATTATTTTGTTAAAATTCTTGAATTTAAAAAATAAAATTAGTTTTGGTTATAGTCTCTTAAAGTAATTTCTTTGGAAAATCTTGTTAAAAAATGTGTAAGGAAAAAGGCCAGATTTTTTAAAGATATTACTTTAAAATTTTCCCACAAATTTCTGGTCACGCCAGATCATAGTTCAAAATAAATTTATATTCATGGTGTGATCCAATGGGTAACAAGAATTTTCAAGGTCAGGGTCCATCTCTAACTCTGATACTAGGCATTTTAAAATTAATTCAATAACAAATATCAAACAAAAAATAAGTTTGTAGTTTAAAATAAATTACGCGTTCATTTTTTGGCTGATGTTATAGAACGTGTGGTCGGTAAATATTCCCATATTAAAAAGATATTTTATGCAATATATAATATACTATATAACACATATTTTTTTTCTAAGTATAAAGCCAACACTACCCCATATACGTATTTTTAATCAAGAAGATGAGAAATGGTAAAATTTAGAATTAATTATACTCATGGAGCAAAACTCTAGTCAGCATTAAGTTTTAGCCCATATCTAATATATACTATTCTCACTAGCACATGGACTGAAATTTCCCATAACCAAGTTTAATCTTTTTTTAGTAAAAGGTTATTTACCAAGTGCACGCTAGATAATCAGATTCTGCCTACAAAGTTGGCATAATTAAAATTATTCAAGATCATGTGGATTATTTTACAAAACACAAATTCAACGCAACTTTATTTAACGGTCACAGCTATATTTTGCATAATACATTTTCACATAAATTGCGATAGATAAAGCGAAATTCTCTGTTTTAGTGGGTTTAATTTGTCAACGTGTGATTGAAAACAATTATCTACACATTGATCAAAAGCTTTTTGAGCTTTATCGGAAGCGTCATGGTTACTGGATGCCTGCACCGATGATTTAAATAGGCTAGACATTTTATCTTTTACTTGATCTTGGCAATCATTTGCACATCTTTGTATTCGATTCTATTCGTGTAAAAAAAATTATAAAATTGATAGATAATTTAAAATTTTCAAATTTATATACCTTAATTATTTATAAAAAAGTAGTAAATATTATGAATATAATTATAACTCTAAAGGTGTTAGCGTTTATATTAAACATTTTGTCGCAAAAATTTAACTGCAGGTAAATGGTGAACGTATGAATGTTTATAAAATAAAAGATCAATCTTTGTATATTTATTTTAAATTATACAAATTGAGTGATAGGACGTCTAACGTTTTTTAAAGAACCCTAATAGAATTAAAATTATTTACCTATAAAATTTCCGGTGAGACAAATGCGAATTGAAATACTAGAAGATGCGATGGACTTATAAATTATATGTATCTAGATACCTTATTTAAAAATTTACAAGTTGATAGTTGAAGTGCATACACGTACTAATCTTAATGTTTAAACTAAAAATGAGAGCATAGAAGGAATAATCATATAAGATAGCCTTGATTATTATTTACTTTTTATATACTAAGTTTATTATTAATTAAAATAATTTCATTCAATTAATAAATATTATATACCTTTATTTATTATAGATTTTTTAGATAACTGTATCTTAAAAGATGTACTATTTTTAGGCAATTATTATTAGGGCAGTGATGATAATTTTATTGTTTTTGGCTATTTTATGATTAAATATATAATTATAAAATATTTTTCATTTTATATAATTCATAATAATATATTAATAAAAGGAACCAAAATTCAAGTTATTAATGCTCTAAAAAAAATTGAATTATTTTATAAGATAATGTAGCTAAAAGGTATTAATTTTGTTATAATATATTATCTGAAACAAAAAAGATCCAAGGTTGCGTCTTTGGTCGACTTATTACTTAATAGCCAGCTATATAATATCAAATAAATAGCCAAAAAAAATTAAAAATAGCAAAACACAAAAAAAAACAAGAATAAAATATGCAAAATAACAATGCCACCAAACACTTTAAACAAACCAAAATTGGTTGTCGTAGCTCAAAAGCTTTTTAGCGTATACTAATAAGCGATTAAGTATCCAAATTAAGTCGCCTCAGGACACCGCCTAAACATAACTATGAATCACATTCTCAGCCGATTAAATCGATTTTTTAAAAAATTAACTCAAGATTTTAGCCAAAACAAAATTTCCTAAGTTTGCAGATTTTAATCACAGATCCAGATGGAAAGGTTTGGATATCTCTGGCAAAATTTCGAGGCTTAGGTAATATTATTTTAGCCGTTTTAAAAAATTGGCTAAATAAACCGTTTAACAACATTATATTCAGTTATAAACATTGACCATATTTTAAATGAGATAATTAACTTTTGGAGAATAAAAAAAATATACTTTATAATTTGTTTTTCATGAATGTCGATCGACACAACCCTAATTATTACTTAAGGTCATTCCCTGAAAATATAATTCAACTCAAAATAATTATTTCTAAAGAATAGGAATTTTGAAAATTTTCTTATGCATTCAATTGATCTATCTGAATATAATTTCTATTCAAATACTCTATTGTTTTATAAAAAACTTAAGTACTTAGCAAAAAAATTTCAATAATGTTCTTTCAATTGAAAACATAATATACCTTAATTGATTGAATAAAATTTAACAGATAATTGTATCTTAGTTAAATGTATAATTTTAAGACAATAAGGACAGTGGCGTCACTAGCTTTTATAATCTGAGGGGTTTTGAAAATTATTTTTTTAAATAACCTTTTTTTAAAGATTTGTCGCCTCATGCAACGCATCTGTCACGCTAGCGCCAATAGTCGGCAGTGAGACAACTAGGAATTTATATAAACTTCTCAAACTTATGGGAATGAATGTAAGCGATATCATAAACCTTAACGCGCGGTTAGTGTTGTTAAACGGCTCGATTTCTAAAAACGGCCAACCCAATATTTTAGCAAAATATATTATGTAAGCCTCGAGATTTCGTTAATAAATGTCCAGACCGTTCTTCCATCAATGAGCAAAATCTCAAGACTTCGTAATATTTAAGTAAAATATTGGTTAGCGTTTTTAAAAATAAAGCCGTTTAACGAGGACTGCTCTCCTCTACTCTAAACCGCGCCCTTCACAATCCGCTTTCACCAGAAGAATAGCAACTAGAGGCTTCTGTCCGAAGTTTGATCATAAATTTATTATAATAACGGTTACTTTACCAACGGTTTTGTAAGATTACCAGCCAATTACTCTATTATCATCAACCAACCAACTAAAGAACGCCTGCGTCATAGAGGCAATGGACTCAGTTATGTGCCCTTCCCTCTTGATTTAAAAAGAGATAACACTCATAGTCTATTCGTAATCAATATAAATTGCGAGATTTTTTTTAAATTTAAAATAATCATAAATAGAGATGTAAAGGTAAGGAATTATTTCCCGGGAAATTTCACGAATTTTCCCATAATATAAATATAATATTTTGTTGCAAAAATTATGATTTATAATTTAATTTATTATATCATAACATAAATTTTAAAATAATTTTTTTTTCCTCGTGAATCTTTTAACTTTTTTTTTTATTATTGCAACCATTGAGTGCAACTCTTCAAATCTATAATTTTAAAAGTACAAAAACATAGGTAAGTTAAACATTATATTCTCATACATAATATTAATATGATATATTATAGAATTATTAATCATTAATGATATATTTAGATTTAACAGGCGCGTAAGTAGGAATTTGCTGTGGATAGTTCATTTGTTGCCGAGAATATTGTAATGTATTTTAATAGTAAACGAGTTTTTCTTATTCTTTTATTTTGTAATGTAAAAAATCAAAATCAGCCTTTATTATTCAAATTAATCTCAAAATATATATTAATAATAAAAATAAACATTTTACAAAAAATAACAAAAAACAACAATATCCCCAGTCGATTTGGTTTCGATCGTATCCTTTTGGGATATCGATCTTGACTTGTTTCTTCCTCCCTCTCCTTTGAATTCATTTCATCGTTATTTTTTATTGCATCCTCTTAGTTTACTATCTCTTCGGGTTTCTCTTCTACTTCAGTACTCTCTTCTAATTCGCATTCTTCAATTAATACATTTTCGGTTCTTTTCCTTAATTGGTCCGTATGACGTATAATAATATTACCCGCTATACTTCATAACGTTGTGATCCGAGTATGCCTTTAATAATGGCTTCTTCCCATTTTTTTTTCTTTATTATTGTAAAGGCGCGACCAAACTTTTTCATTTATCTGAAATTTTTGATTGTGGCATTCAAACTTCTCCTTTTTGTTTCCCCGTTCGAAATAGGTTTAAATTTTAGTAGTTTTTCAGCGGGACTTTGTTCAGTTTCTGTTCCTGGTGTATTTCTGTAATTGTAGAGACAAATAGCTAGGCTGGTTTCTAAATCTCTCTCGTTTCTTTTATTCATACTCTGTTTAAAAGTTCGAACTAAACGTTCGGCCATGCCGTTTGTCTGAGGATGGTAAGGACTTCCGTGCACTAATTGAATTCCGTTTTTTTCACAAAAATCATTGAAATCTTTGCTGCTGAATTGGGGTCCGTTATCAGAAACGATTATTTTGGGAAATCCGAATCTTGCAAAAATATTTCTTAATATTTTTATCGTGCTTTCGGTTGTAGTGCTAGTCATGGGAACTATTTCTGGCCAGCGACTGCTAGCATCTATCACTACCAACCAATAATGATTTTGAAATGGTCCAGCATAATTAATATGTACTCGGTGCCATGCTTTTGGTGGTTTTGGCTAATTTTGAATTGCTGTCTTTTGAGGCATATCGTGTTGTTCCTGGCATTCTCTACATTTTTCGACCCAGGTTTCTATATCTTGGTTTATATTAGGCCACCACGCGTATTGTCGTGCTCTCATCTTCATTTTTACCATTCCGATATGTCCTTGATGTATCATGTCCAACACGTTGTTTCGGTATTGTTGTGGTATTATCATTTTCGTTCTCCATAATAAACAACCTCTATCAGTTGTAATTTCCTCTCTCCTTTGGCTATACTCCTTTAAACATGGATCATAGTTTACTGGCCATCCATCTATTGTATATCTGTATACTTTAGAAAGTATATCATCTCGCATTGTTTCTCTTTCAATTTCGCTTGCATTTAAAGGTGTTTCTCCCACCTGTATTTGATCTAGCGCTTCTTCTTTTGATATTGGAGTTCCCTTTAGGGGTAATCTAGATAGCATGTCAGCATTTGCTATTTGTCTACTACTTTTGACTTCTATTTCATATTGATAACCGGCTAATAATAAAGCCCACCTTTGTATTCGGGCAGTTGATGTTGTGGGTATATCTTTTCTTGGATGAAATAAAACCATTAATGGCTTGTGATCTGTTTGTTATTAGTATTGTAAAATGAATTTTAACCTAATTTTGAAAATGTTGGTGGGTAAGTTAGTTTCATAAATAGAACTAAATTGGAATAAAGTAAATATTCCTGCCCCCCAAGACCTAGACCCGCCCACTTATATGGATAATTATTATTAGGGGTGTACCGATACCACTTTTTGGAAACCGATCCGATCCGATATTCCCGATATTAAATTGATATCGGCCGATTACCGAATATCATATCTAATTTTGTTCCGTAAAGATACCAATGGTTTTAATTTTTAATATACTTTTTATTAGTATAACATCTATAATTTAACTATAACATAACACATGTCATTTAAATATATTATAATGATCAGTTATAGTTTATATTCAATTTAATTGCAATTCTAAATATATATAAAATATTTTATTGATAAATCACTTATTTATATAATAAGTAATAACATTAATTTATTTACATAATTAGTAATAAACAAATATATTATGAAATTTGAAATAATAATTTAAATTAATATATCGAAGATTTCTTTCTAGAAATACCAAAATTTCCATATATCAGAGATCAGTCTGCGGTGATGGGGACTGTCAATATAACTTGCATCATTAAAAACAGATTCTGAAGAGATTATTGCACACTCTTATAAACAGAATGCGAAAAAAGATAACAATATGGCAGAATGTTTATTAAACAATTATTAATTTTAAAAAAATAAACATAAAAATGGATTTCGATTTTATTTATAAATTAAATGGTTTTTTAGATATAACTTTTTTTTTAAATTTTATAATATTTTATTTTTGTTAAAAGTGCCATTTTTTATCGGATCAGATCGGAAAATTTTATAATATTTGCCGATAACTGATATTTTAAAATGGAAGAAATATCGGCCCGATCCGATCCGATATAAAATCGGTACATCCCTAATTATTATACAATCAAAAGATATTGTAATTACCTTTTATTTGATACCCAAATCAATATTTTGTTATTTTTACCCCCCTCCCTAGACCAAGTCCTACCTATCATGACCAAGAATAAAGACTTTCCGTCAAAAGATATCAAAATTAGCTATTATTTAATACCCATATCGATATTTTGTTTTGATAAAAATATACTCGCCTAATAAGGGGGAGAAATTGACCTCCAGTTAAATTGATTTTTTGATTAGCTATCGATTGATACCCTATATTAGACATATCTTATTTCATAAGGCCAAAAAAACAACATTGAAAATTAATAAATAACAATAAAATTATAAAGAAATAAAATGAAACACGCGTAAAACGCTTTTTAAAATAAGATTCCTCTTTATCGCGGTTAAAACGTGATAATACTGTATTATCCCTTAGCTTAAAACCCTAATTTTTTTAGTTATTCCTTTAAACCCCATGATAGTTCTGATCCCTTTAAAAATTACGACTTTTATTTTATACATAATTTCAAAATAATATATTAATTAAAGGAACCATAATTAAATCTATTTATAATGTTTTTTAAAAAATAAAATTATTTAAGATCATGTATTTGGTATTATTTTGTTATATTATCTGTAGCTAAGCATATCTAGATCACAAGTGTTCTTAAATGATTCATATCCGCCAATTTTGAAAAGACTAACTCAAGATTTATACCAAAATGGTATTACCAAATTTGTAGATTTTGCTTGCAGATGGCAAAAATGTTTGAATATCTATAAATATTGAGGCTTAAGGGTCATTCCATGTCAAATCAATCACTTTACAACCCGACCATCTCAGATTTTGTTAAAATTTGGTATTTAAGTTAGTAAAGTATTGTAAGTGACGAATCCAAAATATTAGACTCTTAACTCTATTAGAACCGGAGATATAGGGCTTCAAAGTGGCTCAGCTTGGTCATTTTTTGAAAAAAATGAATTTTTAAAATTGGGATAACTTTTTACTAGATGCACTATGTATATCTATTATGGCTCATTTTATAGCCCTAAGTAAACTCTTGAACGCATGTTAAATAAAATTAATTTTTAGTTTGTATATTTTTCTTAAATTGCGGTTAAAAATTTGTGATTAATTTTTTAAAATGTTAGACTAAAAATTTTTTTCCAAATTTAAGATATTTTGTAAAGATTACCAAGAACTGTTTATATAAAAAATTTCAGAGTGGGCCCAAAAATATTAATTAGAAAAAATCTCATTTTTGAAAAATCCGCTAGATGGCGTCGGTAATTTAAAATATCAATTTTAACAATATAAGTCAAATTTTTTTTATTCCATAATAAAATATATATCGAATAGTTTTTTCTTGGGATATCCTTTCTCTCTTAGTCTCTTTTTTTTTATTGGTGAATGCCCCATTTGATCTAAAGTAGAATTTAAAGATTCTAAAAAAATTGTAGGGATTTGCGCATTATCGTTATTATTTGGATAATTATTTTCTATATGGGTGGAGTTTAGGAAATTATTTGAGGTTGTAGCTATGTTACTATCCTCTAAAATTGAAACATCTTTCTTCTTTTTATATAAAGATTTGCGATATTTAGGACAAATATAATCTCCTTTGTTAATTTTATAATACATTGTCATCCAAATACTGACTTTACGAAGTCCTTTTTTGGAATAATGATTTGGCAGATTTAATGGATTTGTACAAAACATTTTAATAAAATATTAATTAATTTTAAAAATTATAAATTTTAGGAAAAATAACTGATATAAATTATTGGAAAATTTTTTTCCAAAAATCGATAATTAAATTAAAATTATTTTAAGCTTACTATTAATTATTCGATAAATTTTAAAAATTATAAATTTTAGGAAAAATAACAGACGATAAATTATTGGAAAAATTTTTTCGAAAAATCGATAATTTAATTAAAATTATTTTAAGCTTACTATTATTAATTATTCGATATATATTTTATTATGGAATAAAAAAAATTTGACTTATATTGTTAAAATTAATATTTTAAATTACCGACGCCATCTAGCGGATTTTTCAAAAATGAGATTTTTTCTAATTAATATTTTTGGGCCCACCCTGAAATTTTTTATATAAACAGTTCTTGGTAATCTTTACAAAATATCTGAAATTTGGAAAAAAAATTTTAGTCTAACATTTTAAAAAATTAATCACAAATTTTTAACCGCAATTTAAGAAAAATATATAAACTAAAAATTAATTTTATTTAACATGCGTTCAAGAGTTTACTTAGGGCTATAAAATGAGCCATAATAGATATACATAGTGCATCTAGTATAAAAGTTATCCCAATTTTAAAAATTCATTTTTTTCAAAAAATGACCAAGCTGAGCCACTTTGAAGCCCTATATCTCCGGTTCTAATAGAGTTAAGAGTCTAATATTTTGGATTCGTCACTTACAATACTTTACTAACTTAAATACCAAATTTTAACAAAATCTGAGATGGTCGGGTTGTAAAGTGATTGATTTGACATGGAATGACCAAGTAATATTATTTTAGCTCCTAATTTAGTGGTTTATAAAAATCAACTAAATTAAGCCATTTAACAACACTACATTTAGTTATAAGCATTGTCCATATTTTAAATGAGACGCTTTTGGAGAATAAAAATACAGCTAATCAGACAAAAAAGTGCTTTACATTAGAAATAGTATTTTTTATGATATTTATTCAGAGATAGATAATATATAAATACCAGATCAATTTTATAATAATATCAGAAAATATTGGATCAAATTTGTGGATCAATAGCACTAGTTTTCCACTATGCCCCTTATTATTTTAAGAGCCAGGTCTATAATAACTTTTTATCAGGAAAAATGATATAAATTAGCCTAACTATCCACTTTAAAACTTCAGCCTGGTGCATAAAAGTATTTTGAATAATTTATATGGTCTAACCTAAAAATCATTTTTCCCCTTTGAGGTATACTAACCAATACTCTACAGGTCTGATAAATAGATTAAATAAGCATATTTTTTCAGATAATTATATTTATTTGCAAATATAATTAATATCTGCTTAGAGCTGGAATCCTTAGAACTGGCAAAAATATAGCAATGGGGATGGAAATTCTTTTAAAATGTTCAGAAACTGATAAAACCAATTTTAAAATTCCCAAGAATAGCATGAGCAAGATTTATCTAATTGTAGAGAAATTATATGCTTTTGAAATTGAGTAAATTTCTTAATTTAAATATACTCTTTACAATATAATTTTTAATAAGAATGCTATATAAACATTATATAAAAAATGATTAAATTATCCTTACATGTATTAATTATAGAAATTAAATTTTACTTGAAATGAAGAGAGCTCCTCTTGTAAATAATTTTGACATTTAATAATTGGTTCTGAGCATCTTCCTATACATTTTTGGAACTCTTCAATATTCATATCAGAATTTTTACAGCATTTTAATGAACAGTCGTAAACCTCAGCCTAAGGAATAGGTAATGATATTATTGGTTTATATTTTAATACATGAACTGGTCGAAGATATGATTTGTCAAGTTCATTAACTATATTTTCTATTTCATTTTGCAATGCGTTTTGAGATTTCATATTTTGCATGTAGTTCAAAAATCCCGAATAGAAGTGCGAAATTTGGAAAATGCGTATAAATAAGAAAAAATATAGCTTTTATTTCTTGCTAATACGCTATTTGGCGTAAGTCTATCATCTCCCTTTGAATAAAAAAATTATTAATAGAAATCGAATTTTTTGAAGAATTTTTCATGCCAAAATATATCAATTTCATCCATACATTAATTTAAAGCATCCAAATGTGGTTGATGCAGATTCTCCAAATGAACAATTAATATTTTTTTACCAACAGATTTTGTGGCAGATTAATATAAGGCCAATAGCTTAAATTTTGAGTTAATTATTGTTGCTAATATGTTACTTTCATCATACAGTGAAGGAAATCTATATTTGATAACTAATTTATTATTAAATAAGTGTTGATTCATATAAATCAGATATCAGCAAAACTCAGCTTTTCCAAATTTTACAGTAAGACCTGACCCATTATCTGTATGGTATATATTGGGTCATATCAAAAATATTTTAATAAATTTGCCATAATCATTACAATTTTCTAATAAATTTTGCAGATCTCTGATATCTATCAATATACAATAATTGCATAAAGATTTAATTTATCTATAGAATAGTTTAGAACTGGGGTTGATATCCCTGGTCCTTATTTTCCTCCCGTTGTAAAATCTTTAATTATATTGTTTCATAACCTTATTATTTAAATTTTACCTATTAAAATAAAAATATCTTTAAATTACTAATGCATATTTTTTAATGTTGTTAAACAGCTCGTTTTGAGCCGATTTTTAAAAACGGCCAACTCAACTTTTTATCCAGAAATATATTATGGCACAAAGGTTTGAGCATCTATTAGCGAAATCTCGAGGCGTGGGCAATATATTTCTGGATATAATACTGAGTTAGCTGTTTTTAAAAATCGGCTCCCAATTAACAACACTAATATATTTGGATAAGAAACATTCCTACATTGTGAATCCGATTTGTTCACAAACTTCTTCTACTTTTGAAAAATTTTTTCAGTCTTGTCCATTAATTTTATTGAATGGTAGGAGTTCTATCAGGTCTTGTAAGATATCTTCCCGATGTCTGCAATACAGTATCAGCCATTTTAGGGGACATATTTGATTTGTTAATTAAAGAAAATTAGCAAATGTTTATCTGATGTTCGCTTAAAATTGATATCATTTTCTGCCTTCTCCACATCAGTGGTTGCAATTAGGTTCAGATTATGACAACAACAACGTAAATTAATTGATAGGCTTGTAGTTGGATTACTATCTTCTTCATTTTCTCCAAAAATTCCGGAAAAATTATATATTTATTTTAAATAATTTTTTTTGTTAAATATAAATATTACTTAAAGGCCTTAACAACGTTGGAGCCATTTTCTGTCACAATCTTCACCACCTTATTATTAATTTTATGAGTCTTATGAATATCCATAATTTCCTTAGTCAAAACATACGTTTGCTTTCTAATTATGCACCCCGGTGCAAAAGCTACTGATCTTCTCTTAAGGGTTAATACCTAATGGGGCGTAACACCGATAAAAGCCCTAAAATAAAACATTATAAAATTAATATAAATATAATATACTTTCTATGACTACTTTAGCAATCAGCAATGGTGATCACATACAAGATTTGTGGTCATATCTGTAAAGGTAATAGATATTTTGTTGTTCAGAGTTGGATGACACAAAATTTATATAGTTGGAGACAGAGTTGTACAAAAGATCTTCTTTGAAAATTTTTGAGCGAGATCTAACTCAAAAATTTGAGCAAGATCTTTGAAGATCTTTTATTTTTTAAAAATTTTGTATAACGATCTTCAAAGATCTTCATGATATTTATTTTTTTACCTTTTTATTAAAAGCCCAGATATTTTTCAATTTTCATCAAGGCAGGAGGAGATGTATAAAACATAAAAGAAATATTATATTATTAAAATTGAAAAACATCTGGGCTTTTAATAAAGGGGTAAAAAAAATAAATATCATGAAGATCTTTGAAGATCGTTACACAAAATTTTTAAAAAATAAAAGATCTTCAAATTTTACCTTCAAAGATCAAGATCTTTTTATTTTGAGCAAATGTACAACTCTGGTTGGAGAAAATATTTTAATCATTTTCTCAGGATAATCAACCAGTGACAGTGATTAGAAAGTGTACTAATAAATTCCACTATAACTTTGCCAGCTGTTTTTTGTGATAGCTAGCATCAGGGGCGTCGCTAGCCTTTACAATCTCAGGGGGCTGAACAAAAAAAAATTTATGGGGACTTCGCCCCCATACCCACCAGTTAGCGGGCCTTCGGCCCGCTTTTGCCAGGCCTTCGGCCGGGTTTTATATTAATATATTATACTATTTTAAAATTTACTAACTCTAAATAATTATTCTGAATGTCATTGATTATATTTTGCATACAAAATAAACTAGCATATAAAAATAATAGAAGACATTTCTAAAAATAATATTTTTTAATAGAAAATCTATTTATTACAGTATAAAATATTTTCGATTGTTGATATAAAATGATTTTGCGTCTAAAGAATAATAAAAAAGGTTAATTAATTCATATATGCCTTAGTTGATAATAGTTTTTGAAAACTACATAATATAATATAATTCTTAGCAACTTACATTTACAAAAGGTCATGAAACTAATATAACTCCCTATTACCATTTTAGACAAATGGACTAATAAGAAAAAATTTATAGACCTTACCAAATGTACAATTCTTGAAGAAGAGAATATAAACGACCAATCCAAATCATAAAACTATAAGGTGGTTAGAACTTTCTCTTAGAAGACATGATGGAAGCTAGATAAGTAATCGAGAAAATTATTGTATGATATTTTATTTCTAAAAGATTATCTTCCATTTTCAATGTTATATAAACATCTAAAATATGCGATCATATGCTCTCAGCAGCTGTAGTAATAATCTTAAATTACATAGCCACACAAATAATAGATGCTGGTTAATATAACAACCCATAATTCAATAATAATAAGAATAAGAATACGACTCCACTTTATTTATTAAAAAACGCTCACAACAATCTCTATACATTAACAAAAAAAATATACAAATCATAAATCATAATTATCTAATTCTTCATTTCCCAAAGCATTCTTAGTTCCTCGCTGACATCTTCTCGAATTAATCCAAACTCTTCATCCCAAAATGGATAACAAAAGAATCCTTCCCATCAACCCATCATGTGATCATCATCTCCCCTTCTTCCCCCAAGGAAAACTTAATTCCCCTGTCAGAAAATAACTGACATTTGATGTATTATATTAAATTTATTTCTTCTTTTTTTCAACAGTTACAACAGTTAATATGCAGTCCTATCCATGACACTCATGATGGTAACCCATCACAATTTATTCTGTGATAAATTGATAAAACAAAAACATTAAAACCTTTAGAAGAAATTATCAAAATATATTGAAGCCTTGAGTTATTTACATGGCAAGGATTCCATATTAGAAATGAAACATTTTGTAGCTACAAAATAAGAACCAGAGTGATATCATGAAAGCAATTAAGATTTTATATATTATTGTCGCACCATCTCTAGTTGGTATATTATATCTTAAAATATAGTAGTTTGTAATAATATCGAAAATATATTTGTATTAAAGATTTAACCAGATTTAACCCAAATCTATTTTTCGAAGAAGAAAAATATAGCTTTCCTAAAAACACGTAAAAAAAGAGAAGAAAAGATATCTAATTTATTACATCTATTGTGGGATGAGTAATAATTCGTTTAATTATAATTTTATTTTAAATAAATAGATGGCGTTAAATATTTGTATGCAAATTATTACTTATATTTATTATCAAAAGCATTTATTAGTAAAATTTAAAAAATATTAACAACTGTCAGATACGTCTGTAAAAGTGATTTTATAAAAAATTATATATAATAGAGGATTATAAACTATATGTCTACTTAATTTTTATAAATAAATCTCTTATACTTATTTAGATTTGGACCTTGAAAATAATTTTAGTATAGGAAGAGACATGGTAATTAAATTTAAAAATTAATAATATAGTTGATTAGTAATTTTGAACTCGGCTAAACTAAAATATTAAATTATTAATTTTCAATTAATAAATGATTATATTTATTAGGGTTATATAATAATTTAAAAATATAAAAGTCAATTAAGCTTCAACTGTTAAAGCTAAATTAATATTTAGTGAGTGATATTGTTATATTTTCAACACAGAATTTGATTGCAAGCTGACATAGTATAATTTATATGTAATAATCTAATCTAATAATTAAAATAGTAATCATTTAATAAAAATTAAGATAGTTGTTTTAATTTTTTAATAAAATTAAATCTATATATTACTAAATAGAATTATAAAAGAAATTATTCAGAGGGCAATTAAAAAAATTTATTTTTAGCTCAAGGAGATATTAAGGAGCCATTAAAAAAAAATTTTTGCTTCAGGGGGCTATTCAAATTTTTTAGGGGGCTTGAGCCCCTGCGCCCCCCTCCTACTAGCAACGCCACTGGCTAGCATGTTTAGATTATAAAAATTTAATTTTGTTGCTTGGATTTGCAACCACTTTGGTTTCCAAGATTTAATTGTTTTTCAGAGAATTCTTTTATTAGTTTGGCAATATCATTGAATTCACTAAGCTCTCTCTTTATAAAATAAAAATTTAGTATAATTGATAAATATGTTGACATTAAGATTAATAAATACATAAATTTAAGAGAAGGAATTAATATAAATTTATTAATGTGATCGATTTTTCATAATACATTTCAATTTTAATATAATATCAGACCTAAATAAATATCTTGCAAACTAATATCTTCATATACATATTGTGATATATTATCATTTTAAAATTTAAATATAAATTATTTATCATATTAAAATATATAATCATTATAATAATAAGATATTATTACATTATTAGTAAAATAATTTAACAAAATAAAATAACATATATTAATTATACATTAATATAAATTTAGCGCTAACATTATAATAATATGCAACAAAATGGCCAAAGTCTATACTATGCATAGGATGTTCACGGCGTTTCGGATATTGAAAAAATAAAGCTGAGACAATTGTATTTTACTATATTTATGGCTAATCGTTGGCGTAGGTAGAATCCCTCGTTGGGATCCTCGGTCCTAGCAGAGATCCGTTTTCCTAGCTCTTTAAAGAAGTCTAGGGCATGAGAGCCGAACGACGTTAAGATAGTGGCGATTAATGGTAGGAATGTATAATTGGCGGGAAGAGATGGCGAATATTTAGCTAATATTCGCTTCGGCATCTAGTATGGCATCTCTATTTATATTGGGGGCAAGAGGATCGTTGCATGAGAAATCCCATGTTAGGAATTCCCTCCTCTTCCAAGGGATCATAGTCGAACCACCGGGCCGCTTACCATCTGAAATCGTAAAGGCCAGTAGGTTCGAGGGTTGATGGGATGCCGGCGGATTTTAAGGCCCTAGCAATGGTATCATTGCATTTTGAATGCCTAATGAATCTGCCTTTACAGCGCTTGCAGTGTAGAGAGTGACGGCCTTTGGACCGACGTTTGACAGAGGATACAGTTATAAGGTATTACCATATCGCAATTCAGTTTAAGACCGATGGCGTGACGTAACTCATCATTGCTTAGGAACTGGTCAAGGTTTCGGGATGGGAAGGCTTCAAGAAATTCGTATCCACTACCTTCGGAAATGAAGAAGAGTAGAAAATGGTCCTCTGGTTGGCTCCTCTATTTAAGGAATGCAACGGAGTTGCCAACTAGAGGTTTATCCCAATTCTTCTGTAATGCCGACGATGGAGGATCGACTAATGAAAATGACTTCCATGGATCAATTGCCTGTTGGAGTAAGGGGTCAGGATGTTTTGTTAGCGTTTGAATGATGGGCTCGCAGGACAAGCGAGAGGATATGAACGCACTTAGGGAAGGTGACCTTATACCAATACCGCCGGATTTGGTTGGTAAGGTAGCCTATATCCATGAAAACTCCCCAAATTTAAGATTGAGTCAATGATATATATAACATAGATTGGCCATTCATTAAAAACGTCCTCACATTGCAATCAGCTGTAGCGCCATTTTGTAGCTTGAACGTTGATCAAATGCCTCATCATTATTATTATATTTTTAAATTCTCGGTATCAATACAAAATAAATTCTCACCTCAACTGATGATTTTAGCAAGTTCTTCAATTCATTTTATTAGTAATCTAAAATATAAGACTCAAGATATACATATTTAAAGCCACAATACCACCCTTCATGCAAAATATTCCATACCTCTATCTATTATACCTTCAAAAAATCCAATAAATAATCTCCAATTAACCTTACCACCCAGATTCCTTTAACCCATATGGATCAAATGCCTCGATCATTATTTTTAAATTATCTATATCAATACAAAATAAATTCTCACCTCAACTGATGATTTTAGCTTCTTCAATTCATTTTATTAGTAATCTAAAATATAAGACTCAAGATATACATATATAAAAAGCCACAATACCACCCCTCATTTCCAAGAATACTAGCTTTTATAGTTTTATCAAATTCACTAGATATTACAATAAAAATCTTGTTACACACATGTTGTTCATTTATAGAATCTTTTAATTAAAAATAATAAATATATTATTTTTATATTTTACATATATAATCTTTTATGATTCCTGTCTTAATAATAAATATCATAGATGCACCTATATTTATTGCAGTAGCTGGTACTTTAAATTTTATGTAAAATAGTAGCTTATAACTTAAAACAATAATCACTCATAAGTTTATGTAAAAAATAGACCTGTATAGATAAAATTAAATAAAATCTACAAATTTTGTTACTAATAAGAGAAGGTGCTGTTAATTTTTTTATTTTGTATTATTAATTTTATTATAAAGGAAGAACTAAAGATAACTCCAAAAGTATATACTATTAAGATTCTCTTCATAATTGATCATTTGTTTTGTTTTGATTATTTCATCTTAATTATAAATGACAAATAAAAAAATATCTTTTATTTTTTTCAATAAATACATAATGTAATAATATCATTTTTTGCTTGAGTATAAATTATATTATATAAATCATTTATTTAAAGTATATTTAATAAGTATATAATGATATAAATGTATAGGCCTTGAAAAGGAAAAGATATTGTAACAATTCACTTTCATATTATTTTTTAGTACATTTTCATCATTTTTGATTATATCATCACCTATAAAAAATTAATATAATTAATTAGCATAGATAATATATAAGATCATAATTTTTATAATATGCCTAATATCTGGTCATTCCTTATACAATATAATATTTAAAATATAATAGAAGATATATATATTTATATATATGACTTATTGATTATTAAATTGTATTGCTTTTGTAAGATTCTGTCGCATACCAGTTCTCAATTCCTGGTTTCTTAAGTCAGCAAAATGATAAAATCTAATATTTAAATATCTTTAAAAAAAATAGTATAAAATCTAATAATTGGTTACTTTTGAACAATTAATTTTACAAGAATTTGAAAATGGCTGTACCCAATTTCATGTTCAATGATATGATCACAAAGATCAATAAAGAGATTTGTGCCTATTAAAAAAATATTAAATTCATTTCTTTTAAATATTTGTACCTATTATTTTGGAAAAAATTAATACTTCCATTTTTTTAAAATATTTTTATGTGTGATTTCATTTTGATAAGTTCTAAATGAACTTTCACATATTCTGCATAGTTTGGACATACTAGTAGAAGGTATCACCAACCCCCCCCCCATTATTTTTAATATTTATTAGCATATTATTGATATTATTATCATTATAAGAATCACTAACCATTGCTGTAATGCAAACATCACAACGTTGCTTTTTTTCTTTAATAAGTTGGTGTACAATATATCCCGTTATATAAGTTGATACATTATCTAAATATAAAGATAATTTCGGGATATGTGGGTTTGTGTTTCTAAAATAATAAGATGAAGTGGTGGGTATGGGTACTAGATTGGCTATAGGTTTGATAATGTTAACATCATTATCATGATTATTTTGAAAATTTGAACATAATACTTGTGTATTATCTAAGGAAATGCTATTTCCCATGATTGTTGGATCTAATTTCACCATTAATGTAGTGCGAACAGCAGATTGTAGTTGATAAGCTGATGGATTATCATTAAATCCACTCCCGCTACGAATACTACAAAAATATAATTCTAAATGATCTTGTGATGTTTTATACGTTAAAAAGAACCTTAAAAAAATATTATTATATTGAAATTTAATGAATAACTCTTGTTATAAGTTAAATATAATACTTCATTTTAGGATTTTCTCCAATTAATAACTCCTTTTTCAGGATACTTGTCATGGAAAGAATAAGCCCCTCTACACATGTTTTTTTTGAAGATTTATAAACGTATTCACCATTTGTTAACCTTAAAGATTTTAAGGTTTGAATACACTTATCAAAATGAATTTGATATTCTGGAATCATATTTATATGTAGCGGGGCTTTATATCCCTTCCCAAGACAATTTCTTGAATTCAGATAATCAAACATTCTATAAGTTTGTTCATTAATTTATTTCATTATTTTTATTTTACTGATCTATCATCAATATATAAATAATGGTGCCATACAATTCTGAAGACAGCACACTCCCATTATCTAAATAAAATAATCTGAATTATGTTAAACTATATTTTAAAAAATTAAAAGGAGGGATAGTCTTAGAATCATTTTTTTAGGGGAATGACTAAAATACGCGTCCCCGAAAACTACGCGTCCCCGGTCAAAACGACTTATTTTTATTATTATTAATAGGAAATCTTATTAAGCTTTATAAGATGAGTTAGAAAATGTTTTTTTTAATTTAAAAAAAATACGGTAACTATATAAAATTTACAAAAATTTATTTTTTAAAAAAATAAACTACGCTTCCCTACGCGTCCCCGGTCAAAATACAGTTTTTTTTTAAAAATCAAAACGGATTCATATTTAGCTCATTAAAAGAATACAGAATATGTAAATATTATATTTTAAAATATTTTATAACTTAGTGATTTTTTCAAAAAACACTTTTTTTTTCAAAAACACTACGCGTCTCCGGTCAAAACACCTTTTTTTTTAAAAAATAAAAGCAGATTCATGTTTAGCTTTTTAAGGAGATTTAGAAAATGGTATTAATAAAAAAAAAATTTAAAAAAAAATTTTTTCCAAAAAAATTTTTTTTTGGCTAAACTACGCGTCCCTACGCGTCCTCGGTCAAAATACAGTTTTTTTAAAAAAATCAAAACGGATTCATATTTAGCTCATTAAAAGAATACAGAATATGTAAATATTATATTTTAAACTATTTTATAACTTAGTGATTTTTTCAAAAAACACTTTTTTTTTTCAAAAACACTACGCGTCCCCGGTCAAAAAACCTTTTTTTTAAAAAAATAAAAGCAGATTCATGTTTAGCTTTTTAAGGAGATTCAGAAAATGGTATTAATAAAAAAAAATTTAAAAAAAAATTTTTTCCAAAAAAATTTTTTTTTGGCTAAACTACGCGTCCCTACGCGTCCCCGGTCAAAATACAGTTTTTTTAAAAAAATCAAAACGGATTCATATTTAGCTCATTAAAAGAATACAGAATATGTAAATATTATATTTTAAACTATTTTATAACTTAGCGATTTTTTCAAAAAACACTTTTTTTTTCAAAAACACTACGCGTCCCCGGTCAAAAAACCTTTTTTTTTAAAAAATAAAAGCAGATTCATGTTTAGCTTTTTAAGGAGATTCAGAAAATGGTATTAATAAAAAAAAAATTTAAAAAAAAATTTTTTCCAAAAAAATTTTTTTTGGCTAAACTACGCGTCCCTACGCGTCCCCGGTCAAAATACAGTTTTTTTAAAAAAATCAAAACGGATTCATATTTAGCTCATTAAAAGAATACAGAATATGTAAATATTATATTTTAAACTATTTTATAACTTAGTGATTTTTTCAAAAAACACTTTTTTCGAAAACACTACGCGTCCCCGGTCAAAAAACCGTTTTTTTTAAAAAATAAAAGCAGATTCATGTTTAGCTTTTTAAGGAGATTCAGAAAATGGTATTAATAAAAAAAAATTTAAAAAAAAATTTTTTCGAAAAAAATTATTTTGGCTAAACTACGCATCCCTACGCGTCCCCGGTCAAAATACAGTTTTTTTAAAAAAATCAAAACGGATTCATATTTAGCTCATTAAAAGAATACAGAATATGTAAATATTATATTTTAAACTATTTTATAACTTAGTGATTTTTTCAAAAACAGCGTCCCCGGTCAAAAAACCGTTTTTTTTAAAAAATAAAAGCAGATTCATGTTAAGCTTTTCAAGGAGATTCAGAAAATGGTATTAATAAAAAAAAATTTTTTTTTGGCTAAACTACGCGTCCCTACGCGTCCCCGGTCAAAATACAGTTTTTTTAAAAAAATCAAAACGGATTCATATTTAGCTCATTAAAAGAATACAGAATATGTAAATATTATATTTTAAACTATTTTATAACTTAGTGATTTTTTCAAAAAACACTTTTTTTTTCAAAAACACTACGCGTCCCCGGTCAAAAAACCGTTTTTTTTAAAAAATAAAAGCAGATTCATGTTTAGCTTTTCAAGGAGATTCAGAATAATTTTGGTAGTTGAGAATTCAAATAAAATATTTAATAAAGCCAATGTCTAGCCCATATTTAAAATTAAAAAATTTTCAAGGATATCTATTTTAAATTTTACCCAAGTTGATTTCTATCATAAATGTAAATTATGATATTTCTAATACCCTTACATTGCAACATTTTTACCTTCTTTTTCTCCTAAATATTAATATTTTTATGAAATATATTAATAAAGCATATTTAGTATCGTATACACCTAACTAATTAGTAATTACCCATCAACCCCGTCATTCTGATTAAATTAAATTAATTTTATAAAAAAATTTTTTTAATATATATATACAAATATATCAAAATATAAAATTGACGGAGGGGCTCAATGGTTAGAAAGTATGCCTTCCGAACGATAAGTTGCGAGTTCGAATCCCGTTTTGCCATGAAAAATTAAAAAAAAAAATTTTTAACATTAGCGAGATAATAATAGCTCTCGATTTATTTAACATTAAGATGATAGGAAAGTTGATAGAAAAAAAAAATTTTAACATTAGGAGATAGGAAAGTGAAATTAACGTTAAGAAGATAGGTAAGTTGATAGAAAAAAAATTAACATTACCAAGATACGAAAACGTTCATTTCTTGATTACATTTATAGATAGATAGATATATATCATATATTAAATCAATGTGTTAAAAAGCTAAAAAATCAAACAAAGTTGAATGTTCTAAATCTGATTGATGAATTAGAAAATATTATAATTATTAATTTATTTTTCATTTATGTTAGTAATAAGTTTTTTAAAATAACTTTCTAATCTTACATTAATAGTTAAAATTTATCATTTTATATGTTTTGTATATGGGAGACTGGGGTTAGGACCCCGGGCTTGGCAAACCACTTAATCTCATTTCAAAATTAATATCCTATATTAGTTTACATCTATAGACAAAAAATCTTTTGAAATATTAAATTATTAAAAATTTTATTTAAGAAATAAAATTTTGATGAAGTTTTCAAAAGATTTTTACATGATAGAATTTTAATTATAATATATAATCATTTATATGTAAATTAAATTTTATAGTTAATTTTAAACACTCTTCTATAATTTGGAAATGTTCAATGTGTATTTATTATATCTAGATAATATTTCAATCATAATTTGTAAATTTAGAGCTAGCGGCGCTTGCTAAACCATACAAGTCAATTAAAGCAGTTAATAATGAAAAAAATTTCAAAATCTTGTAAAGGCAATTCATGTCTATTTTATAATTGGTGTTTAGGATTTATGCTATCATAATCTCTCCTTAAGATCTTTATTTTTTATGTCCAAAATGTTTATTAAATTAACCAAAATTAAGTTTCAATTTTTATATAAAATAAGCCTATATACTACAATACAACAAAATTATTCTATTTGTATCATTATTAATAAATAAAAATACATTTCAATTTATTATGGCCTTAAAAAACCAATGGTTTAGGAAGCCCCTTGAAGTGGTTTGCCTCACCCCGCTATTGGGGATTGTTAGACATATATTTGATTTTTACAAAAAATAAAATTTAAAAAAAATAAATATATTCTTAAATTTTTTTATAAGGCCCCTTTATAAAGTATTGTTTTCGGTATCTAATCATATTTTATTTTTTATATTATGTAAAAAAAAACCAGAAACTATAGCCAATTTTTTAAAAATAGGTTAGAATAACCGCAGTCTCTCCTACTATATTCACCAAATTTATAAAACAAATAATTTTATTAATCAGATAAATATATATTTATTATTTCAAGTAATATACAATTTATTAAATATAATAAGATTACTAAAACATATTTTTTAATAAAATACCATTTATATTACATATTATTATATACAATCGTAATAGGTAAAAAAATGTAAATATTCGTTTGTTGTAAAATAATGTGGGTGTTTCAATCACGGTAGTCTTTATAGAATGTTGTTTCCGACGTATCACGATTTAGTTTTCCAATTTCAATCATTGACCAAACTATAATATGATGTTGTTTTCATCTTCGATATCTATTTATAGTTTATATAATAATATAATATATTTATTTTTATATGCCTTTTTACCTTCAATAATTATAGTCAAAAATTTCAAATTATAGGACTTTAATAATTGGTAATATTTAAACTTAAAAATAACTATTTATATTGTTATTACAAAAAAAAATTGGATGCATTGTTCTAACTGTACAAACTTTCTCTAATATTAGCTAAACAATATTACATTATTTATACTATATTAATGATTTGTCCCGCTATTGCTTTTGATCTTATATTTAATATATTTTATAGTTATAATATTATGGTTTTAGCCATAAAAATATTTTATGTTTCCGCTCTTAGCCACGTGGAGGCAACCAGTTGAAAGAGCTTTTAGGTCTTAGTTTAAAAAAAATACCAAGACCATGGATATATAATAGGTTTAAAATTTTAAACCTGAAATATAACCAAAATATAATATATTAAAAAGTTTACATTAATTTAAAAAAAAAATATTAAACAAAAAAAATATTAAACAAAAAATTTATTTGTCCTAGTCTAATAACTCATCTTCTATATGATGGTCATTAGACGTGACGTTTAAATCAAGCATATTAACCTCCGACGCCAAGTCAACCTGTTAACTTGGGCTCGGTGGTGTTGCCGATACGGGAATCGGCCCGGCTGGAATGAGCGCCCATACGTGAATCGGCACGGCTGGAATGGGCGCCGTTAGGGAGGGGGCAGAAGTGCGCCTTGTCGTTTGTCTCCAAAAAGTGACGATTAGTTGGGCGCACTGGGGTGAGGTTTGTCTCCAAAACATCATAATAGGTTCGGCGCAGCTCTGGACAGTATCTTATATAATGATTTCCCTCACATCTCCAATAGCCCGAGGCTTCCCTGGCGCCTCCCGAGAAAGACTCTCTTTCTCCGTACCTGTAGGTACCATAGCCCCTTCTTGGGCTACCCGACCTACGAGACCGTCTGTCTCGAGTAGGTCTCGCTATATTAAGCATTTGCCAATATAGCCTGAAAGCTTCTAGTCTGGCCTCCTCCAGCCTATTGTCCGACTCCAATGATCCGTCAATCATCCCAAATAATTGTCAACACGGAATGTGGATGTCATATAAAAATAATAAAATAAAACAAATATATACAAACTATTTAAAAATTAGCATCCATATGCTTTACTTTAATTTTTTTATACTGTGTCGGTTTTTTAGACCCTTTAGGTTTGGTTAATTTTAATTGACCGCAGGTCGATATAATATCATCATCATTTATAATCCGTCCTTTCATCATTGCGATGAGACGATGACGACGTTCTTCGACACTTATTTTATCCCAATTTTTTCCCAAAATAAATTTCTTATAACTGTCAACAACAACAAATTGGCCCAATCCAATGACTGCCCGTTCAAGTTCTTTTTCTTGAACCCTATTCTTATTGGCTATTTTTTCAATTAAAATGTGTAAAGCCGACGTCTTTCTATCTACTAAAGATTTTAACATACTATTAAACGATTCACAATCGTTATTCGACCATAAATTTATAATTATTTTTTTCTGTAATGGCTTATAAATATAAGCAAATAAATTATCCTGTAATTTTTTATTTAAATAATTCATAAATGAATTATATCTTTTTTCGATGCAATATGATTTTAATTGCAACAATCTACGATACATCTCATCATTTATCGAAAATACTAGTCCCTCTTTGCCAAATATATCACGTAAAATTTTTTAGCGATGATTTACATCGACTCCCTGTTTGTCTCTTAAATATCTTATGATATTTCTTCTCACACGCACGTAACATAATAAATGGTCCGATGTTTCAAAATTATTTCTAATTGCAGCTATCATGGCGAATTCCTCATCGCTACCAAATATTAGATTATCAACATTGATATCATGTTTGGTAAAGAGGTGCCGTAAATGGGAAAAGAAATAATTAAATGTCTCGAAATTAGATTTACCATGCAAAAATATAGGGCCCATATATATAGGATGGTTTCCGCCTTGTTTTCTACAAACTGCTCTATGTTTGTATATTGTTGCCGTAACAAATAACTCTGATAAATTGTAAGTTTTATCTACACCTAATATACATGGTTCATTTTGATGACACATATATTTCACATTTTGTATCATAAATGGTGTGTATAATATAATTGAAATAACTTCCTGCGAGTTATATTTATATTTTTCACCATCGGATATTTATTCATATCCTTAAGAATTAATAAAACTTGATCGGAAAAATTGGCTGTATATCCTTTTTGATTTTTACGTTTAATATTATACTTAATATTCCGAATTTGTTTTATATCTCTAGCAGACTCATTAATGTCTTCATTAAAAATCGAATCTTTATAAATGTCTTGAACACCTTTATCCGCAATTTTCTCTTTTATAGAGTTAAGGACATTTGTCGGTGTTTTAGTATACACCTCATCATAATTTTTAACATTACCGTGACGAATATTTCCGGGATAAACCCCAAAATATTCAACTATAAATATATCCTCTAATTTAATATTTACATTTGGCGACATACCTATCAGGTAGGATATTCTTCTAGCATAATTAGTATCTCGTTTTAAACTAGTATAATATCTATATAATATAATCACATTAGCTGATGATAAATCGATATCTATACTCAATTTTTTTTTATAACTATTATAACTTTTATACAACTTATTTTCCATGAGGAGATACGGTCCTTTTATCGTATCTTCTATTACAAAATATCGCTTGGTAGAGGATGTTTTCTTTCCAGTCCAAGCGCCGCAATCATCGTCATATGATGTTTGCATTGTTTTTTTCTTAGTTTTCATAACCGTAAAAAAAACATTATTTTTTATACCACGAGGTATACATTGCACTATATTTGAAGGGTTTATTAACATCTCTACTAAGGTAAGGCTGTCAAAATTTTTAAAATGTAAACCTTCCAATTTTTCGTCTAATATTATATTTTCAGGAATATTAACGTCTAAATTATTTTTATCATCTATTCGTTTATTATTCGATATATATTCTGAGATTTTCAGCTTAATATCATCATCTCCATTAAAAACGTCGTTTATATGATTATCTGATGAAGTATCTTTATCTTTTTCTTCATCCTTAACTAGATTAAACTCGTTTATATCATTATTTGATGAAATTATATCATCTCCATTAAAAATGTCGTATATATGATTATCTGATGAAATATCTTTATTTTCTTCATCCTTAACTAGATTAAACTCGTTTATATCATTATTTGATGAAATTATATCATCTCCATTAAAAACGTCGTATATATGATAATCTGATGAAATATCTTTATCTTTTTCTTCATCCTTAACTAGATTAAACTCGTTTATATCATTATTTGATGAAATTATATCATCTTTATTAAACAATACCGCGAAATGATTAATATTTGTTTTTTTAGTATATTCATATGATGTCCAAAGAATGGCTATATCGTTATGTCGATAAAGTGGGACCCCTCTACCGTATATAATCCTATTATAACTTTTATCTTGAGTTACCATTTCAGATCTTATAGCGATCTTAAAAGCAGCACTAGTCGCGTAAATCTGTACAATAGTAGCCCACTCTGTTAAATCTAATACTGTATTTAAAATATCATCAAAAGATCGTTCAAAATCTAGAACATCATCTTTTAAAATATATTTTGGGTTATCTTTTTCATAATAATCACGATTCTTAATTATCTCAATAGCTGTTATCAGTCTGATATAAATATGCTCACTTGGTATGCCGTATAGAGCTACCGATATAGCTCTATATAAGCAATTACCGTCCCCCACTACCCATAAGGGAGTATATTCCGATAATATATCATTTCTCTTATAATCTTTTAGGATATTATATGATACGTTATCTATAATAAAATTACTTAGTTTCCTAATACGTTGCGGTGTTTTTTTATAAAGCGCTAAAAGTCTTAACTCGTTATCGGCAGTTTTAATATTACTCTCATTTTTTAGCTTATATAGCGCATCTGAAATATTATAACAATCGCAACAATAAAATGGGGCATCGATATTCCCCCATAATTTAAAAACTCTGCCTTGTAAATTCAAACATTTAGAATGAATCCACCCATTACACTGTTCGCATGCAATGGATGGTGTCGTACTCTTGATATTTATATGACAAACCTTGCACAAAAAGATCCTAAATCAAAATATTTTTAAAATTAGTATATATATATATCTAAGTTGTGAAATTAAAACATATATTGTGATTAATTTGATATCACCGAGCATTGTGATACACTACTTAATAAAAATCTCTCCTCAAATATAGGTCAAATGTGGCATAAATGGCTAGGCTTGAAACCCTTTAACTTTATACTTATTATGACCGAATTATATATAATTATGTCATAATGTGTATTATTATGTTATGTACCTTGCCTAAGTTCATTTATTGAATAGAGCAATCCAATAAAAAACAATTTATAACGGTTTAATACTTCTATCTGGAAAAATTAGGTTACACATGATGTTATATTGTTAAAAAAATACTAATTAAGATTACTGATATTTTTTATAAATATTATCCTGAGGCATTAAGCATTATTCACACAAAAAATTATAGCTTACAAGTTTTATTTTAATAGAAATATAAAGGCGATGAATTTTATTAGATGAGTACTCTCTGGCCATATATTGATTGGCCTTCTATGCACACAGTCACACCATTTGTTGAAATTTCAAATTATGAATAATCTTATGAATATTTAGCAAAAAGATAAGTAAGATATTAATTTACAAAGTTGTTATATCTAGATACAAAAATGAGGTAACTGTACCTAGATAGATTTTTATTTATAATAATATCTGTATCTAGATATTATTTTATAGGTATCTGTATCTATTTTTAGATATTTTTTAAGATTATTTAGATATACTTATATTTAACGCTTTTTTATACTTTAAATAAAAAATATTGGTGCCAAATTTATTTTTTTTCATATGAGCATATAATTTAAATATATATATTAAAAAATATTAAGACTAGTTTAATAATATATGTATAATATTAGAACTTTAATATATATTCATTAAATATTATGTCCGCGTTTATCAATAAAGCAGACAAATTTTGATATTACAATGCATCTCAAGGATTCTGCTATTTTTATTTTCAATGGAAGTGGTAAATATTATTTTATTATACAAATTTTAAAAATATATTTAGATTAATAAAAATAGCGATGAAGATGAAAAAATAATAATCAATGAAGCGTCAACCAGTTCAGACATTTTTCCATGGCTAATTTAGATAATAAATTTTAAAATAATATCTTATAATAAAGTAAACAAATCTCTGACAGAAACAGGTTTGCCATGTAAATACGAAAATTTAAGTTAGCATTACCTCAACTTGCAACATTGTAAAACATTTAAGGATATATATGGTGAATTCCATAGCAAATCAACCAAGGTTTCAACCCGACCCCTTTCAATTTTTTTTAAATTTTGCATACTGGTAGTATATACTATAACTAAGAAAAAAATGAAATTTTACCTCCCAAAAAGGCTTACCCGCTTATACCTTTTTTTTTCTATGGCCATTTCCGGTTTTATACATCCGGTTTTGGACATTCATCAAATTATGAATGTCCAAAACCGGATGTATAATAAAATTTAAATTATTTTTCTAACTTAATTATTTCTCGAGATATTTGAAAATAAATGAGGCACATTTTGTCAAAAATGTACTATTTTTCCGCGTTTTAAACACCCATATCTTAGCGAGTAAACCTTGTTGGGAGGTAAAATTTCATTTTTTTCTTAGTTATAGTATATACTACCATTATGCAAAATTTAAGAAAAATTGAAGGGGGTCGGGTTGAGAATCGACTTTTTTTGGTTGATTTGATATGGAATTCACCATATACTAAACTAATGTTTATAATTGTAATTTTATATTTTAAAAGATAACATCCAACATTTTTAATGAAATAAATTATTAATACAAATATTATTTGATGAATTATAATAGTCTTCAACTATATGCTTGTTAATCATGATTTAAATTTTTCTACTCAACAAATTTGAAATAATTTATTTATAAAATATAAAAATATTAGTATTTTTAAAGAAAATCCTGATATAAAATTCTTATTCATAAAATATAAAACTATATTCCCTAAAATGTCTTTACAGATAAACGCAAATGCTTTAAAAAGCAAAATTTAAAAAAAAAAATTTTATTACTAATATCTAATAATTATTTAAAATTATAGGTTAGGGAAGCAAAGGCCCCCCTAAACCCCCCCCCCTATAGGAAAATCCTGGATAATACACTGTATTATAGTATAATTTATTTTTATTTATCTAAAAAATGAGGAAATATATAAGAAATGTCTGCAAGTATTTCATATTGTATTATTTAATAGGTATATTAAAATACTTATATAATATATAATGGCCAGTTAACACATAGTATATGGCTTGTTAATACATACTATGTTTTGACTTACCAGATAAACAACTTTCACATAATATCATCTAGCTCATACAGGGTTGCCCGATGTCACGATTTAGCCGTAATTCTCACGATTTCTTACCAAATTTTTTACTTACTCTCGTTTTCTGACACCTCACGCTTTCCTTACGTTTTTGAGTAAATTAAAATAATCACGTTTAGTCTCACACTTTTTCTCACGTTTTTAAATTTTTTAAAAATATTTTTAAAAACAAATATAAAAAATAATTTTATTATAAAATATTTTAAAAAATTGTAATATTTGTTAATGGTTCAACTAACCAATCATATATTTTTAAATTTATATTCATTTTTAATTTTTTTTTAACATAGTTTATATGAGGAAATCCAATTGAAAAACAAAAATATATGTTTAAATATAAGTTATATGTACTTTGAATCTTTTAGTTTTGACGTTGTGAGACGAGAAGGCTATACTTTTTTGTTAAAAAAAAACAATAAATATCAATTTAATTATTCTATAAATAGTTTAAAAAAATAATATCTTAATAAATTTATGAAATATGCTGCAGTTAATCCTAACTTTATTTGCATAGATTGTGGATAATGTTCTCATTTTTTTTATAAATGATTTTATATATTAATTATATGCTTTAAATCATTAAATATGATCTAATAAAAAACTATAAAACTTTTATGTCGCAAATATGCAAGATACAAGGAAAGGCTCCTATTTTTCAATCTTACAAATTTTCATAATCAATAAACATGAATTCATATGATTTTAGATGTTATTTATATATAATTTGGACACGCCATTTCAGCTTATTTCATTTACTATTAATGCGGAATTACAATAAAAATGTTTGGCTTCTATTATTTTTCACTATTTTTATGTAAAATCAAAATAAATTTCCTAAATTTTGCTAAATTTTATTTAATATCGTTATTGGTTATGAATTACAATAAATTTGCTAATAGTATACTTGATAACTGATTTTAAATGTTTAAATTTATTTAGACCTCTATTTTATGAGTTTCCCTACTATCACACATGTGTGTCCCAACGTACACAGAGTCTGTCAAGGTTGGGACAAAAAAATTTATTTATAATTAATTTATTAAAAAAATAAAGTCTATATAAAATATATATTAATTATTTCAAAAAGTCTATAATTATAAGATTCAGAATACGCTATACTTATTCAGATTAGGCCCGGCCCTTATTATTTTAAAAAATAATTTTCAGGTCCGGCTACGAATTTTTTAAAATTACATTAGACATAATGTATAAATTTTTATAAAAAATAGGCCCGGCGCGGATATATTATAAAAAATTCTGGGTAGTGACTGGAGTCTGCAGGTCTTTTAGATATATTAATTAAATTTTTAATAGTAAAAAAGAGGCTTAATGTTAATGTTTTACTTTGTTATGTAAGAATATAGTAAGGTTAATGTGTTATTTTTATCCTCTTTTCAAAATTTATTTCTTTTTGATAATATAAAATAAAATGAGATTTACATTTATCATGATTTTGGATTATGACATATGTTTTTATATAAAAAGTAAATTATAAATCATAAATTTTATAAGATTATAAATAAAAATAGGAAATGAATAAAAAAAAATTAAAATATATTAATATTCTAGTGAATTTACAAAAAATTAGTTAAAAGGGGGGGGGGGGATAATAAAGAGTGAAGTATAAAAAAAATACAGTTGTCGTGTTTCTTTAGGAAACTAATAAAAACTTGTTATTTTGTAAATTACTCAGAGCAGCCAAGTTTATAATTTTTTTTAATAAAAATAAGATGTTAATAGTCATGATAGTGTTAATGTAATATATGTCCGCAATACTACAGTGAAACGATACACATGTTTAAATATACTATAAAAGGGGGTAAACAAAATAAGATTTTATTTTTAATAGAATAAAGATTGAAATTAAATATGGACAAGCAATTAATTAAGAAGATTAATAGTTGATTAATCATTATAAAAAGAAATGTGTTACATATATATAATTTGTGATGAAAAATGAATTTTTTTCTTATTTTCTTTGAGAATGCTCAAGTAAGATATTTGATTAAATTTCATTTAAAATTCTAAATCATTTTTTGTAAAAAGTCTTTTTAATATTTGAAAATATTTTAGAATTTCTTAAATGTAATCTATTTTGTATATCCATTTATTTCGATAAAAATATGATAACACTATAAACTTTTATAATAATTTCGATAAAATAATTAATACATAAAAATTATAATTAAAATTTATCAAACATTTGTTGTTCTTCCGGCATTGATAACATTTTGGTAAATATATCTAATTTTTCTTTATTCCAATATTTGTGTATTCTTTTTGGTCTTTGAATTCTCGACGAAGATTGGGAGTTTTCATTTAAATTGGAAAAATTAGTATTACTATTGGATAATAAAGATTCTATATTAAACATTTTTTTTTATTATTTAAGAAAAATTAAAAATAATTAATATGTAAGTATTTTAATTTTTTATTTTGAATTAAATTTTAACACATTTTTTTTATAATGATTAATCAACTATAAATCTTCTTAATTAATTGCTTGTCCATATTTAATTTCAATCTTTATTCTATTAAAAATAAAATCTTATTTTGTTTACCCCCTTTTATAGTATATTTAAACATGTGTATCGTTTCACTGTAAGTGACGGTTAAGCGAATTGTAAAGACTATTATCGTTCCCAATATCGTCTTTGATTCGTCTGAAGACTTTATCTGTAAAATAAAATAAATACTATAATTTATTAATATATTGCTTTTGATCTTTATTTTAATGTTTAGTTTTAATATTATGGTTTTAGCCATAAAAAGGTGGAAAATAATCAATTTTCACCTTTTTATGTTACCGCTCTTAGCCGCGTGGAGGCAACCATAAAAAGAGCTTTTAGGTCTTAGTTTAAAAAAATACCAAGACCATGGATATGTCTACTCTAACTTTATGTATTAATTATTTTATAGAAATTATTATAAAAGTTGTTGACCATTTTTATTTAAAAGAAAGGAAAAAAAGAAATATGTGTTTTGAGATAAATACTTACAATAGGTCATATTGAAAAGTGATGTGGTTTTTGAAATTACATTTTTATGAAGGATGTGACATGGGTTTATCAGGATCAATTAGGATCAATTAACGGGCTATACAATGGTATAAGTTTCGGTAATTGATCCTCAAATCGTTCTTACTGCTTAAATATTTCCGCCAACTTAACGTTTTTAAAACGGTTATAACTCGGTATTGGTTAGTGATATCGATATCCGGTTTGGTGATTGTTAATGTACGTATTGAATACTACATAATTGCCAAGTTTCAAAACATGATCGTTTTTATTTTCGGTTTTGGCAGTTTTGGCAAAGTGCCAATACTTTTTTGTTTTGCTTATAACTCACGAACGGTTCATTCTGTTGATATGCGGTTTAAAGATTCTGGAGGATCAATTAACGCACCACACTTTGGCATATATTTTGGTAATTGATCCTCACTTTTTAAAAAAATTCTTACAACTTCACGCTTTAAAAACAGGTCATAACTCGGTTGCGGTTAGTGATATCGATATCCGGTTTGGAAATTATTTACGCACAAATTAAAGCCTAAATAATTGCCAAATTTCAGATCGTGATCTTTTATATTTTCGGTTTTGGCTAAGTGCCAGCACTTTCTTAATTTGCTCATAACTCAGTAACGGTTCATTCTGCTGCTTTCCGGATAGAAGATCAATTAGGATCAATTAACGGGCTATACAATGATATAAGTTTCGGTAATTGATCCTCAAATCATTCTTACAGCTGCAAATCTTCGCACTTTCATTATTTTGCTTATAACTCAATAGCCTTTAATTTTTTTGACATTCCGTTTAAAGAATATGGAGGATCAATTATGGTACTAAATATTGGCTATAACTAAAAAAATGATTGCTTAAATTTTTAATTTTGGCAAAGTGCCAATACTTTTCTATTTTGCTTATAACTCACGAGCGGTTCATTCTGTTGATATGCGGTTTAAAGATTCTGGAGGATCAATTAACGCACCACACTTTGGCATATATTTTGGTAATTGATCCTCACTTTTTAAAAAAATTCTTACAACTTCACGCTATAAAAACAGGTCATAACTCAATGGTTAGTGATATCGATATCCGGTTTGGATATTATTAACGCACAAATTAAAGCTTAAATAATTGCCAAGTTTCAGATCGTAATCTTTTATATTTTCGGTTTTGGCAAAGTGCCAACACTTTCTTATTTTGCTCATAACTCAGTAACGGTTCATTCTGCTGCTTTCCGGATAGAAGATCAATTAGGATCAATTAACGGGCTATACAATGATATAAGTTTCGGTAATTGATCCTCAAATCATTCTTACAGCTGCAAATCTTCGCACTTTCATTATTTTGCTTATAACTCAAAAACCTTTAATTCTGCTGATGTCTGGTTTGAAGATCAATTAGGATCAATTAAGACTCTAAATAATGGCATAGGTTTTGTTAATTGATCCTTACATCGTTCTTACAACTTCACGGACCTATTGATTTAATATGATATATATCTATCTATCTATAAATGTAATCAAGAAATGAACGTTTTCGTATCTTGGTAATGTTAATTTTTTTTCTATCAACTTACCTATCTTCTTAACGTTAATTTCACTTTCCTATCCCTAATGTTAAAATTTTTTTTTTCTATCAACTTTCCTATCATCTTAATGTTAAATAAATCGAGAGCTATTATTATCTCGCTAATGTTAAAAATTCTTTTTTTAAATTTTATATGGCAAAACGGGATTCGAACTCGCAACTTATCGTTAGGAAGGCATACTTTCTAACCATTGAGCCCCTCCGTCAATTTTATATTTTGATATATTTGTATATATATATTAAAAAAATTTTTTTATAAAATTAATTTAATTTAATCAGAATGACGGGGTTGATGGGTAATTACTAATTACTTAGGTGTATACGATACTAAATATGCTTTATTAATATATTTCATAAAAATATTAATATTTAGGAGAAAAAGAGGTAAAAATGTTGCAATGTAAGGGTATTAGAAATATCATAATTTACATTTATGATAGAAATCAACTTGGGTAAAATTTAAAATAGATATCCTTGAAAATTTTTTAATTTTAAATATGGGCTAGACATTGGCTTTATTAAATATTTTATTTGAATTCTCAACTACCAAAATTATTCTGAATCTCCTTGAAAAGCTAAACATGAATCTGCTTTTATTTTTTAAAAAAAACGGTTTTTTGACCGGACGCGTAGTGTTTTTGAAAAAAAAAGTGTTTTTTGAAAAAATCACTAAGTTATAAAATAGTTTAAAATATAATATTTACATATTCTGTATTCTTTTAATGAGCTAAATATGAATCCGTTTTGATTTTTTTAAAAAAACTGTATTTTGACCGGGGACGCGTAGGGACGCGTAGTTTAGCCAAAAAAATTTTTTTTTTATTAATACCATTTTCTGAATCTCCTTGAAAAGCTTAACATGAATCTGCTTTTATTTTTTAAAAAAAACGGTTTTTTGACCGGGGACGCGTAGTGTTTTCGAAAAAAGTGTTTTTTGAAAAAATCACTAAGTTATAAAATAGTTTAAAATATAATATTTACATATTCTGTATTCTTTTAATGAGCTAAATATGAATCCGTTTTGAATTTTTTAAAAAAACTGTATTTTGACCGGGGACGCGTAGGGACGCGTAGTTTAGCCAAAAAAAAAATTTTTCGAAAAATTTTTTTTTTTAAATTTTTTTTATTAATACCATTTTCTGAATCTCCTTAAAAAGCTAAACATGAATCTGCTTTTATTTTTTTAAAAAAACGGTTTTTTGACCGTGGACGCGTAGTGTTTTTGAAAAAAAAGTGTTTTTTGAAAAAATCACTAAGTTATAAAATAGTTTTAAATATAATATTTACATATTCTGTATTCTTTTAATGAGCTAAATATGAATCCGTTTTGATTTTTTTAAAAAAACTGTATTTTGACCGGGGACGCGTAGGGACGCGTAGTTAGCCAAAAAAAATTTTTTTTTTATTAATACCATTTTCTGAATCTCCTTAAAAAGCTAAACATGAATCTGCTTTTATTTTTTAAAAAAAAAGGTTTTTTGACCGGGGACGCGTAGTGTTTTTGAAAAAAAAAGTGTTTTTTGAAAAAATCACTAAGTTATAAAATAGTTTAAAATATAATATTTACATATTCTGTATTCTTTTAATGAGCTAAATATGAATCCGTTTTGATTTTTTAAAAAAAACTGTATTTTGACCGGGGACGCGTAGGGACGCGTAGTTTATTTTTTAAAAAAATAAATTTTTGTAAATTTTATATAGTTACCGTATTTTTTTTAAATTAAAAAAAACATTTTCTAACTCATCTTATAAAGCTTAATAAGATTTCCTATTAATAATAATAAAAATAAGT